GTATGTAAGATAGAATAGGAACAAAGTGTGTATGTGAATATGTGTATGTAAGATAGAATAGGGACAAAGTGTGTATGTGGATATGTGTATGTAAGATAGAATAGGGACAAAGTGTGCATGTGAATATGTGTATGTAAGATAGAATAGGAACAAAGTGTGTATGTGAATATGTGTATGTAAGATAGAATAGGGACAAAGTGTGTATGTGAATATGTGTATGCAAGATAGAATAGGGACAAAGTGTGTATGTGGATATGTGTATGTAAGATAGAATTGGGACAAAGTGTGTATGTGGTGACGTGTATGTTAAATAAATTAGGGCTCAGTGTGTATGTGTATATGCTCATGTAAGATAGAATAGGGGCATATAGTGTGAATCTGGATATGTGAATGTAAGATAGAATAGGGGCATAGTGTGCATGTGAAATTAATATGTGGATATATTTTATTTTCAGATGCAACCAGTCTCAATGATACAAACATGACTACGATACCTTCAACTGATGCTGCGCCAACACTCACCTCGCAACGTTCGCACACCCCTGTTTTGACAAGCACTGCACCAACTGCTACTTCGCAATTTTCTAAAATACCTGTTGTGACTGGAACTACACCTGGACTCACTTCAAAAATCTCTCAAACTACAATCTCTACAAGTACTGAAACAACTCTCCCGTCGGAACTGTCTGAAACTACAATTTCTACCAGTACTCTACCACCATACACCTCACAACTGTCTCGAACTACAATTTCTTCAAGTACTCCACCAACTTACACCTCGGAACTGTCTCAAACTACTATTTCTAAAAGTACTCCACCAACTTTCACCTCGGAACTGTCTGAAACTACTATTTCTACTGACACTGCACCAACACACACCTCCCAGCTGTCTCAAACTTCTGTATCAACTGTATTGACGCCTATGTTACCAGCTACAATACCATCAGTGACATTTTTGCCTCACACAACACAGTCCCGAACAACAATTCCTTTACCTACTGTACCAAGAACATCGTCTTTCTTCAGCACGCTACTTGGTGAGACAACGCAATCTCGGACAACAATTGGATTACCGACTGTACCTCGAATCACTACCACTGGACCTACCGCAATACCAAGTATGTTTATATAATGCAGACAAAATTGTTTAATAGTTCGATAATCGATTTTCAAAAAAAAACGAGAAAGTAGCACTTCGAGAAATTGACAATAGGAAGAATACCACAAAACCTGCCCTCTGGCAAGACTGTGAAATGCTTTCCATAGCACTGTGTTTACTCGCATTATGCTCAACATATATAAAATATAATTTTTTCGAAACTAAACAAAGCACGCATTTTTGTATTACAGAAATGTAGTTCGTAAATATAGCAATGCCAAAAAAAGATGGGAGGCAGTCAGCAGCTGCTGGCGACTTGTTTACAAGTCAGTATGTTAAACGACAAATATTGTATACTATATAATGTGTGAGCCAATAATAAAGCTTTCCGAGTTGTTGGTCTCTCAAGCAACGAACTGTTTCTAGGAAATTAACAATACGTAGATCATTGTTGGCATTGCCATTCTAATTCAAACTGTGTTTGATTGTGTAGTCCGTGTTCAAATACAAATTAGCCACTTTCGAACTTTATTCATGGATGACCATTTATCAAACAAATCGATGCTGTTAAATGGATATTTATTTCACTCGAGACGCAGGTTACGTTACAGGCACTCAGATTTGCTTCTGTCAATCACTAGAGTTATCTACTCGCTTACATTAAAATTAAATATAACAGAACAAATTTCGAATTTACTTTAAATATTTCTTCTAATAATCAGTTGCTTACATTATATAAAAGTTATTTTATCATCATTAACTATTTCTTTAATTGTTTTCTTCATATTTCACGATATCTAATTTTCATAGTACACATTAGTGTCCTGACAGTTATATATTCATATAAATTGTAATTATTCAAAATTCAGTGAGCTTACCCAATGTAATGACACTCTCCACGTAATACGACAATATCGATCAAAACTTTTGAATGTATACATTTTGAATGTACATAATATGTATTAAACATGATTATTGCAATGTTATTGTTTGCTTTGACGTCTGTTTGCATTTGATTTCAGTTACGCAGTCTCCATGCAATGTGCTAACTGTTGATGAAAACTCGCGTATTGAAGTTTTGGAACCAATACCTACAATGTCAGCAGTTACAGCATGTATTTGGGCACAAACAGATGAAGTGTCTGGAGGAACACCATTTTCATACAATACTGCTGGAGCAGACAATGAATTCTTTCTCAGTTTCCCAGAAAATTTTAGAGTGGGTATAAGAGGCGCAACCACTGGTGCGACTGGAATCAGTGTGAATGATGGTGCCTGGCATCATGTGTGTGTCACATGGAATTCAGTTGGTGGAATATTCAACATCTATGACAATGGTGTACTGGCATTTGGTGGTAGTAGTTTCAGAACTGGGTTGATGATAAGATCTGGCGGTGTTCTCATATTAGGACAGGAACAAGACACGTTGGGAGGCGGATTTGACCCAGGCCAAGCATTTAAAGGAGATCTAGCAAATTTTAATATGTGGAACAGGGAATTAGATGGTGTAGATATCCTACACTCCACAAACGACTGTTCATGTGATATTGAAGGCAATGTGTTTTCATGGAAATCTGATAGCCTTGATATTGCCGGAACTGCACTAGTCTCTGCTGAAGATTTCTGTCGTAAGTATTTAGACTGACATACATGATTAGTAATTACATAATTAGTGTGCCCTTGCCGACGGATTCAATCTTTTAGTTTGCGTTCAAGTAAATCCGACGTTGGAGGCACAATAACTATTGCAACCAATTTCAGGCTGGGCACGTATCACAAACTAGTTATTTCGTAAATGTATCTGCATTCATATTTCTGAACTGGATTCTCAAAATGATTTTCAAAATGGATATATCTCAAAGTTGTCTGGAAAAAAATATACGCACTTTCTGAATATGACATTGATATTCGTTCATTGCCCCATGTGGAAGAATTGTGATCACTTTTTTTATTTATTACCAAAATCTTGCCTCAAATAAAAAACGCATGTAATTACTTGTCACGTGGTTTGTAGCATTTAAATCTTGTTTATGTGACTCTTGAAACTTACAATCTGACGGGAAATTAGTCTACAGTAGCACAAACGCTTTTAATCAGGAAAAATAAATGTATTCTTATTTCAGCTAAGCCTTCACTGACGAACGTAGCACTAGACAAGACTGCAACGCAGAGCAGCGATTGGTCAGTTTCTTTTCCAGCATCAAATGCGGTGGATGGTAATACAAACACACACTGGGGTAGTGGTAGTTGTACCAGCACACAACGTGACGTTAATGCATGGTGGAAAGTTGATCTTGGTGAAAATTATCTTGTATATGAAGTTATTCTTACTAATCGTCAAGATCCGTGCTGTAGTGAGTATAACTACGATACTTTTCGCAAAATTCACAACGTATTGCATAATCATGGCAATAAAAAATACAACATCCTCATTGGATGTATACTGTGTCATCTTAGTCTTGTCTGTGATTAAGACTATACTTGTTCCAAGGTTTCCATGATTTGAGATATTTGAGAACACAACTATATGCCTTGAAATATGTATCTCATGGCCATATATTCAACAATGATGTGATTTTGTTTCAGAAACGCGTATTTTGAACAGCGAGGTTAGAATTGGTTTATCGGATGTCATATCTGAAAATATCCGATGCGGTGAATTAGTTGCACTGGAACAAACCAGTCAGTCAGACGTCGTATTTGAATGTGACAGTCCGATTGTTGGACGTTACGCCAGTCTACAGCTTGTGGACAGAACTGATCTTCTTAACTTCTGTGAAATGCGGGTAATGGCATTAGGTAAGAGACGATCATAATTAGTGATTATTCGAGCCAAATACCGGAATGAAAAATAACTATTGCTTCGGGCAAGTATTAAACCTTCAACTGCGTTATGACAAAACTTACCATGTGAAAAAGAACGAGTGTGAAGAT